GGTAATAACATAATTCAATCTGGTACAGAGTTGGAAGGGACCTTTAAGGTCTTCTAGTCCAATCCCCTTGAAGCAGTAGAACTTATAACATTCCAGACAAATGGCTGTCAGATTTCTTCACCTCCAGTGATGGAGCATCCACAACTTCTGAAGGCAACGTCTGTTCCACTGATGAATTGTTCCCACTGTCAGGTAATTTCTCCTCAGTTCAGGCTGATAGGTTTTCTATCCATGACTTCTTGCCTTGCCTTCAGGTGCTTTGGAGAATTTGCCTCTCCTTGGTGGCAGCCTCTTAACTGTCGGAAGATTGCTATCATGTCACCCCTGGACCTTCTCTCTTCATTAGGCACTTCCAGTTTCTTCAACCGTTATTTTGTGCAATATATATAAATAGAGGTCCGGAAGATAAAAGATGGCTTCCAGGTTCACATAATAAACGTAATGAACATAATAGACAAACAGAATAAATAAATATAATAAATGTCATATATCAGTATAAATATGTATTTAGGCAACATGTAAACAAACAATAGCACACAAAGAATGGCCACAGCTTCAACAGCCACCCTTCAAGGTGTTACCCTCCCTGGCTCACGATAAGCCTTTGACTTTGTTTCCCAAGCGCTGGCTTAGGTTTGATCTTAACTGCACGCCGAGATTAAAAAAAAAATTATTGCATGCTATTGTGGAGCTATTGGAGATAGTTGAGATGGATGTGTGACTGCTGTTTTTATGCAACTTTTATATCCTGAAAGTAATATTTAGTTAACTGTAGAACTAATTACAAAAGATGCACTGATGATATGTGGTAATAAAATTCAGAGAACACCAAGAACTGCACAATTACAAAAGAGCTTCAATCTGGATGGTATCTAAACCATTTCGGTGCATCACATGCCACAGTGGCCAACCAGATGCCTCAGTGGGGTTCAAAGCAGGAGGGGGAATTTACAACACTTGCGCTGTTCTCTTGCTACTGATATTTGGAGGCTCCAAACCTATGTAATAGTGCATAATCAATAAACTTTGCAGATCTATTCTCTATGAACCAATCAGTATTGAAACAAACCAAACTAGTGGCCATCCTCCTGTTTTGTAACATGGAACTCCTCAAATTAATTCTGGGCTGTGTGGAAAAATGTGGTTGCTTGTGGTTGCTGTATTAAATTTAAAACTTTAAGCAGTTTCATTGAATAATCTGTGTCCTGATTTTTGAGAAAATCTCCCTGTCCATTTTCTGCATATCGTGCTTAATTTTTACATTTAGCGTACATTGAACTGTATTTTCCATTTGGTTGCCCACTCATCCAGTTTAAATTTCATTTCTGTAGCTCTTCACACTTTCATTATCATTAACTTGAATAGTCTAGAATCATCTGCAAATTTAGGCAGCTCAGAGTGCTTAGCCGAAGTCATGATAATTTATGAATAAATTAAAAAGCTCCAATCTCAGCAGAGAGCTCTGTGGCACTTCTTATTTCCTTCCAGTGAGAAAATTGCTCCTCTACCCCCACATTTCACTTTGGTGTTTTTTCCCCCCACTCAGTTAGCAATCTATAAAGAGCAGCGCCTCTTATCCCTCGACCACCAAGATTTTGTCAGAAGCTTTTTCAGAATCCAACTGTACAGTGTTAATCGTATCATCTCCTTCATTTGCCTTTTGTCACTTGTAAAGAACTTTGGAAGGTAGATTTACTGTTGCATCGTCAGAACTAATTTTACTTCAGGGCTTGTTTCTTTGTCTGCTAATTATTTTTTTCCTATGATTACATTTTTTACCACTTAGATGTATTAGTGCAATTTGTGCAGTTTGTGGAATTGTACAATGCTGCTTAATGGCCCTTCAAGAGGAACTGGGAAGAAATTGTTCTCTCTCCCTCTACCCGTCCTCCTTATCTATACTATTTACTTAAATCTGTATTTCTATATTGGCTTCATATATTTACTATTCTTTTTCCCCTTAGAGTTTCTTTTCTTTGCCCCCCTTTCTTTGTCACAGTTGTGAGATGAATGGCAATATAAATTGTTATAACAATAGAATAAATATAAATGCTGCCAATTTGTGAATTAATAACATTAATTCTTTTATTTGGTACCGAGATCTAGACTGTCTCTATGCCTGAGCACATTTGGAATGGAAAAGCACTTCCTATCAGCATGTAGACATGTTGTTTTTCCCTGAGAGGAAGGTAGAAGCTCTGCTAGAGTTCCTTCTCCTTGTAAGGTTAAAGGAAATTCTTCAAGCCTTCACATCTTTCCTAACACAGGAAGGTAGGAGTCCAGGAAGAACCCTGCTTTACAATGTAGAGCATCCTCTTGATTGCATAGTAATAGTAGTTTCTAGGGCTGACGTGACTTCTTATTTTTAAATCTATTGGTTTGGGAACACATTGTCCATAAAAAACTGCATACACAATTGCTGTAAGATTTTATCACCCTCTAAATAATTAACAGTGAAGTTGAGATGCTTAGAATTGAGTGGCTTAATGGTGAAGACACTGGCCTCCCCCTTGGAGGGTTGAGAGTTCAATCCTAGATAGCAGCAGGTGTTTCCCTCCTAGAACACAAAGAAAAAATATCTGCTGTGGACTCCATGTGGCTTCGGGAAGGGCATCCAGCCAGTAAATGCTCCGCTCCATCCAGTTGCTCAGACTCTACCCCAAATTACGGGATTATGGGAATTGAGACGCTTAGAATACTGAAGACTTTGTCATCAAAATGAAGCATGAAAATTGCAGCATCTAATTCACTTCAGCTAGAATAGTGTTACTTATTTGGAGCCATTTCAACATGTTTGCGATCTTGCTAATGTTTCTATACCTTCACAACTTGTAATATCTGTGCTGAATCTTGATTATGCTTTTGTTCCGAGTTCTGGTCATTCATTAACTTGGGATGTCAGTTTAAAATTAGAGTTGCTCATGCTGATCTTTTATTTAGAATTCCATACTCAGTAATGACATGTTTCTGCAAATACCAGTTCTTAGAAGATTGGGTAGCTAAGCAGTTATTTTAAGCCATTTGTTTGGTTTTTAATACCAGTTTTGAAAATAATGGGGCTGTGCTAGTTTGAAGTGACGTAGTAAAATTCTTTTTTAACATACTGTATTTTGAGATGTGCAAAAAGTCAAATTTATTGGGGAATAAAGGTATCAGCTTGGATAATATCTCTTGGCATTTATAATGATTCTGTAAATATAAGCCACTGAGGAATGCTACTCTGCAACTGCTATTAATTTCAGTATAATATATGTAAAACCTGAACAAATTCCAAAAAAAGTGAATGGATTCTGTGAAGCATTAGTATATTGGCAAATGACCCAAGTAGTGGATGAAACACAATTCTATCGATTCTGCATATGACGTAAATGCTCTGTAATGCTGCCTTCAGTTCATGTTAATTATTGTCTGTTGTATAAAAATGAGGAAAGGTTTCTGAATATTGGACATGGGTGTCAAATAGCAGTGGGAAGCTATAATGTTTATACTGGGTTTCTGGCATGCCAGGGGAGGTATTGAGTTGGTCAGTATTGGAAAAAGACTACAGAAATAAATCCCATTCTGGACAAATTCATTCTTAATTGGTATGGCAAGACCCTTTTCTGTTCACTGGCTTATTGTATGGATCAATACTTTGTCTTTACAAATTAGCTGTTGCCGAATGATTAATGTCTACAATGCTGGGAAAAATAGATAATATTTAAGTGTATATTGGCCAATTTCAAGAAAAAATATAACATATAAAGCGCTGTTGTTTTGGATAGTCAAAATGCAAAGGCATTTATCTTCTGAATTATACAACAAGGCACAGATTAAGAAATGGAAGGATTTTGAAAATTTAAAGATTACATTCAGTGCTTGTTGTTCACATAGTTTTTATTTATTCTGAATCCTATACATATTTTTTCTATGCTTGCTTAGTCCTCAGAAATTGCTGAATTTTTCATGCATGTTATTCCTCTAGGTATCAGTGGCTTTAATAAGTCTGTTGGAAACTACACTACTGAGCTATCTCAGTTACAAAGTAAGTACTTATTATTATATTCTCTCAGAGCCAAATTACATCATGATCCAGTCTTTTGCAGGGTGATATTCTAGGCATAGCAGTGTGTTTAGTCTTCAAGTATAATATTTAGATAATAGCAGAATTTTCTATTTTTAAAACCCTAGCAATTAAATAAATATACATTCTGATAAATAAATCTCTCTCTCTCTCTCTCTCCAACTACCATGCACTTTAAATCTTTTTTATTAATTTCTAAATATTTATTCAGAAACTAATATTTTATTAGTTGTTTTTGCTTTGTTATGCACAACCCAGAGTCACTTGTGAGATGGGTGGCTATATAAATTGGACAGAGAGAGAGAGAGAGGGAGAGGGAGAGGGAGAGGGAGAGAAAGATAGCAGCATCATGCGGCATCTTAATATCAGGAAAAAGAATGCAGAAACTGTATAATTCCATTGCGTGCACTTATTAGAAATTAAAATATATTGTTGCTGTATTGATCACATTTGACTTGTAAATGTAATTGAATATTTATTACTCTGAATGAAATCTGTGCTATGTTTTTTGTAGTAAGGTTTCTCTATATTCTTTTAACTATTAGGAAGCATTTTATACTTCTAATAATGACAATGATAAAAAATGGGAAATTTAGGAAAAGCTTCAATTATCTACGCTTCTTATATTCAAATTGAATAAATATTCTTCAGATTTATTTATTTTGTTAGTACTGTACAACTAACTGAAAGAGTGATTTGGTATACATTCCTTGGCCATTTTTGAGAGCGACATAATCATCTATAAACTGGTTATCTACATACATACATGAAGTATATACATGAAATATACAGGTACAGATGCACACATACACAGACATACAGTACATATGAAAACTCATGCCTGTACATGTAGCTATTAGGAAATAGAGCTCTCTGGAGACTATTCAGCTGAGCTGGACAGAAGACAGAGCTGGTTAGCTTACATCTAGTCAAATATGACATTGCTTCGGCTCCTTCTTCTAAAAAGGATTTGCTATGTACAGCTCTGTTTTGCCTAATAAGAAATTTGAATGTTTCTCAGTGAACTATATATACGTCCTGTATGCTGCCATGTATCACTTATGATGAATTATGGTTTTACTACGGGAAAAAATCATTGCTGGCTGTTAGTGCTGCATTTTATTTTACCTTGATTTTTAAAAGGGAAACATATGGGAACAAGTGGTACGCATTCCTTTTCTGCTGGAAATCATCAATGCTATTCCTTTCATCATTACGGTAAGT